GGGCTCGGTTGGGAGCCGCGCCGTGCTTCCAGCGCCGCCGGGAAGTGCGCCGCTTCCATTGTGTGAGCCCCGCGCAGCGCCGGGCGCGCAAACCGTCGCGCAAGAAGCGCGGAAGCCGTGTGGGAAAGGAGGGGCCGCCGCAGCCGTCGGGGGAACCCGCCGTGCGGCTCCTGGGTGTAGTTTGAGCTGGACTCGGGGAGACTTCGGCGCTGTGGCACTCCGGGCGCTGTAGGCACCTATTAACGCTCTTCTCGTTCTGTCGTTTTTCTTTTTCCCTCCAGTTTTCTTTTAATATGTTCGACCACCCCATCCCTCGGGTTTTCCAGAACCGCTTCTCGACGCAATACCGATGCTTCTCGGTATCCATGCTTGCTGGACCTAATGACAGGTCAGATGTGGAGAAAGGCGGGAAGAGTATGTGCATGTTTTATTTTGACTAATAACCTGTAGGAAGGGTGTTTGTGAATAATCTCAAGTGATGCAGCTTTTAGCCGGGAATGCAGAAACAGCATGGAGACGTACGGTTGGCTCTGGCTGGAGCCAGAGGAGCACCCTGGGTGGGGCTTTGAGAAGAAAGGAGGAGGGTTTTGTGACGTTAGTGTGTAATTAGAAAACTTACCGAGTGAGTTCTGGTTTATGAGCATTAGAAGACGTTTAAAGGCTCATGTTAAGATCTTAGGCCCATTAAGAGCCGTGGAAATTTATGATTAAGGACTTTTTTCCCCTCGTTGTACCTCGCTTAGCTCAAACACAGTCGGCCAACTTAATTTTCAGGCTGTCAGGCTAATGCTTTGTTCTTTTGAGTTGGCATCGGTTTAAGAGCACCTGTAAGCCCAAATAAATAAAATTCCCTTTAGGAAACATTTTCTTTAGTACTAGGTGTTGTAAAACCTCATCGTCTTTTTTTTTTTTTTTTCTGAATAAATTCTGAAATCTCCATGCTAGCAGGTGTATTTGTCATGACTGATTCTGCTGAAATCTCTGGCTCAAAAATTAATTTATTATTTTAGAGAAGATTTTAGAGAAAGAGCTGATAAAATTGTGTGTTATGTCCTCTTTGTACAGTCATGTGTTTCCTAATCGTACGTTCTTATTCATTTCTGCAGTAATTATGCCACCATCGGCTTTGGATCAACTCAGTAAGTGAATGTTTTATTCTGGATTCTAACATTAGAAATATGAGTAAACGTGTAAGCAGATACTACAATATTTTAGTGAAAATCTGACTTAAATAGAGAATAGGAGACTAATTAGTCAAAAAAAAAAGTATTTTGGAAGTATTTTGTCTGTCAGAATTAATGGGGCTTATTTGTCTTCAAGTACAGACATCTGAAGTGTTGGGCTGCCTGAGGCATGAATCAATATTTATTAACTATTAATATCGTACTCAGTATAATGCTTACAGTTAATCTAGTGAATTCTTAATCTCAACCTTCTTATTCTGGATGCTGTTGTCAGGGGCCAAAATTACTTTAAAGACAAAATAAGTGATAATTAAAGATAACTGAGTCAATAGTGTAAAGGGTCTTTATTGACCTTTTTAACTAAAGTTTGACCCCCTCTCCCCCGAGTTTTAGCCTTAGTATAATTTCTTTGATAAATTAGTGTAGTCAGGATTTAATTTTAAAATAGGCAGGGCCTGTTAAAATTCATTAGGTAGGAGCTAACTAATAATAGCAGGAGGACATAACAGTAATAGATTCCTCTGCTAATACCCACTGCCTGCTCTTCTCTGAGCTCGAGGAAATGTTGGAGAGGCATTTAAAGCTCTAAGTGCAGTGGCAGTACAGCGTTTGTGTATCTGCGTTCTCTCCTGGATTTGTAGTTTGAGCAATGGGAACAATGGTGTGAGGGGAATCCTCTCCTGTAGTCCGGCCAATTCTCTTGCTTATGTTCAATCTCTGAAAGCTTCAGAAGTGTGTTAGTGGCTTTTAACAAACAAAATTTTTTCTCCTTTCTCACCAGGCCGACTTAATATTACTTACCCAATGCTGTTTAAGCTGACCAATAAAAATTCAGACCGAATGACGCACTGTGGAGTGCTCGAATTTGTGGCTGATGAGGGTATATGTTACCTTCCACACTGGGTGAGTTGTCTCATGCTGAACTGTCAAAGCCTAATAGTAGGATTAGTGAGTTGCCAGTTTAATATTAAAGAGATGGAATGTTTCCTGAAAGTGCGTGTCTTTGCTGCTCGTGTTCCTGCAGCTGCTTTCAGTCGCAGCTCAGGTTTCCCTCCATGAGAGTTTAACTAAGTAAGCAAAGCAGGCTGATTTTTAAGATGCAGCTGAGTCTTCTCTTCCTGAAGTTAAACCATGGTAGACTGGTGCTTTTCAAGGAAGATGGTGGCCCCAGTGAAAATAGGTATATGCAAGGAAACAGAATTAAAAACATCAGTCATGTTGATAGTGGTTTGTATCTTTGTTTTCATTCTTGCAGATGATGCAGAACTTGCTACTGGAAGAGGGAGGCCTAGTGCAAGTGGAGAGTGTTAATCTTCAAGTTGCTACTTACTCTAAATTTCAGCCACAGAGTCCAGATTTTCTTGACATCACCAATCCCAAAGCTGTGTATCCTTCCTGTCCAATTACAGAGCAGGGGACAAAAGTTTTCTCCCAAATTGAAATGATGAAGCAAAGCTAGCTTTTCAGGCAGTAGGTAACTACTTCTGCTCCTTCTGAAAACAAAGCGTGGAGAGATTACGTACAGAGATGTTGCCAGCTGCTGGCACAAAGTATAGCCTGGAATGAAGAAGCATGAATCTTGGCTTAGAGTCCAATGAGTTTGAGTGTCTCTTAGAAGAACTTGTACACCCTAACGTTTACTAAAAGGCTGTGTACAGTACTCGTGACTTTTAAACCATTTGGGAGACAGGATCACAGTTTTGTAGTATAGTAATTTTAAAGGTTTGATGTTGCATTGAAAACAAGTGTTTCATCTTAACATCCTCCGAAGATTAGAAAATGCTTTGAGAAACTTTGCTTGTCTAACTACTGGGGATGTTATTGCCATCAACTACAATGAAAAGGTACAGTATGCAACACCAGTCCATGCAGGTTTTGTTTGGATACCATCAATTTGAGAAAATAAATTCTGTCCCATGTGAAAAAGTAAGCTCTGTTTCGGTAGATTGTGACCACATTAGTACTCTGACTTTGTCTTGTGAATAGGTTTTATAGATGAGTATTTTTGGCAGCACATGTGCACATTTGATCACTTAGGCTTGTAGACTAAGCTCAGTTATTGCATGTTGGTGCCAAAACAATCAACACAGAGCTGTGCAGTATTGTTGACAAGTAATCCCAGATGGGAGATTTCGCAATCGGTTTTCTATTGGAGGAAAAAAGGGGTCAGTTAAGTCTTCTCCTGAGCTGCTGTTTAGGCTGGTTTTTGGCTCACGAGAAAATAAATGTTTGTGCTGTTGATGTTTTTACAAGTCAAGGGACAGAATTTATCCTAGATGCATAATTTGTAAAAATGCAGATTAAGGTACAGTAAGAGTGAAGCAAGGCACAGTAAAAGGTAGGTTCTCTAGCTCCAGCATATAGCAGTCTTTTAAGTTAAAAATCTTTGCTCTCAAGTTCTGTAGAGACCCTGCAGTGTCCAGTCCTCAACCTAAAGAGCACTTACTTCAGTTTTCTTGAAGCTATCTGAAGAGAAAGTTTTAGATATGCTTTTCATATGTATAAGTTGTGCTTTTTCATGTGCAATCTTAAAATATTCATTACTGTTTCAGATCTATGAGCTTCGGGTAATGGAGACCAAACCAGATAAGGCTGTGTCCATCATAGAATGTGATATGAATGTAAGTTAATGCTAGTGTGGAAAGTCTGCTTTTACTGTGTCCTCCCAAAAGGAGTGGGCATCTCGCTCTGATAGCGTGGCACACCGAGCACCTCTGATGCTGCAGGAAAGGTAAAAACAGATGGGATAGAGAAGATGACTAATTTGAGAGTACCCTACGTACCTTTGTTACCACATCTGTGGTCTCAAGCTGCACTTCATGTACCATCAGGTGACTGTAGTGCCTAGAATTTAATGTTTAGCTTCAATGTGTTTTATAACCTGAGTTTTATTTAATAGCCTTGTCTTGATTCAAACTCCAGTGATATTGTGGGGTGCTGTTTTACTGATCTCTTTCAATTATCTGCTAAGAGTAATTCTTGGGAGGTTTAGTCTTTTTAGTTCTGGGTTAAAATTTTTAACAAGCAAACCTCAGTTCTTTCTAGATCAAAGTAGAGTGATAGTTGTGGAGTTTTGAGGAATGGTAGTAAAAAGCTTGTGATTAAAAGAAAAATATCAATCATGCTTGTTTTCATGCTTTGTATGTAAATAGGTGGATTTTGATGCTCCTTTGGGGTACAAAGAACCAGAAAGAAGTGCACAGCATGAAGAGACCACAGTAGGTTAAGTTTCTGTTCTTCAAAAAGGTATCCCCTAGAAGTCAGCCTTGCTTGTGATAAAGCAGTGAGTGCCAATATAAGTTTTTTTCCTGAAACAATTTCTTAAGACTAAACCTTATTTACCAGACAATTTTCCTTGTGTTACTTAGGAGATGGTTGTTTTCCAACTGTTGATTTTGGAAAGGGATTGTTCTGAAGTTTTGTTTGGTTGGAACTACATGAAACTGTTTTCAGTTTGTGTTCTTCAGTATGTGTTCTGCATATCACAACATGAACACAAGGAACTAACTTGTTTTTTCCCTTACAGGATGTTGAAGCAGACCATAGTGGATATGTGAGTGACGTAGGATTTCGTGTAAGTCCACGGTTTCTGCTGGTTTCTACATGTTGTAAAATGGTGAGGGAAAGTTGTCCCAAACAACTGCAAAATGTGAATATGTGTTCTTAGAGGTGCTCATCGTTTAACTGGCAAGTACCTGCAAATGTTTTGTGGTGCTTGCAGCCAGTAGCAGTATGACTTGCTGTCCTTAAAATGGCAGTCTATGACTGGGAGACTGAAACATACTCCTACACTCAGCATTCATCATCTTATATGTACCAAAAAGAAACACGCTGAATCAAATAACTAAACAAAAACGATAGCAAGATTTTACAGAATATAGTATCCCTGCACTGTGTGCTTTCAAATACAAGATATGGTTAGATTAAAACTTGTTATGTGTTCCTAGGCATTCTCTGGTTCTGGGAACAGATTGGATGGCAAGAAGAAAGGTGTTGAGCCTAGTCCGTCCCCAATTAAACCAGGAGACATTCGAAGGTATGTCTGTTTCGTTCAGTTGTCAGCAGTGAAGTATCAGTGTTTTAGTGGAGTTGTTTTATTTTCTGATCCTGCAATATAAAGAAGCTAACTTCTTCGTAAGTTTGAATTTAGAAAATTGATAGTTTAATCTTGTAGACTGAGTGTGATGTCCCTGACTCCTTAAGATGCAGATACGGAGTTAGTGTTGTCAAAACTCACTCAGTCAACTCTGGATCTATAAAAGACAAGTAGAGAGAGGCAGCAAGTTTAGACTGCGCTGGTGGGCTGGACCAAGTGATGCACAGAGCCCTGCCAATTTTCTCAAGTGAAATTTGGCATAGAGTGAAATATTTTTTTTTTGAGTTGGGTGGATAACTAAAGCCAAGCCATGCGTGGGTTTGTTGGTTTTGTTCAGACTTAGTTGAAGCGTGCAAGGATGTTGTTCCTGTGATGTTCTGTCGGTTACGCCTTTTTACACAGCAAAACTTGAACCCTTGTGGAAAAGCATGTCCATAGCCCTGTGGAAACCATGGGCTACGTGGAATCGTGCCCACAGCCAAGCTTCTTCAGCAGCTCTAGTATCTGATTATTTACTTCGTGCAATGTATGCCTATCTTCAGAAAACAGTTCAGTGGTTTAACTCTAGGATTATTTGGTAATGAAAACTTGCAGCCAGTGTTGCTACAATATTGACAGACATAGAATAGGTCTCACTGTGTTCAGTTGGATGGTAGGTGTAAAACTTCTTTGGTAATATTTTTATTCTTCTTTTCCAGAGGAATACCCAACTATGACTTCAAGATTGGTAGAATCACGTTTATTAGAAACTCACGTCCACTAGTTAAGAAGGTTGAAGAGGTAAATAAAGCTGGATCCTTCCCAGTTTTGCGCAGAATTAGAACTGCTGTCCAAGTTTGTGGCTCCCCTCTCCATACTTGATTTTTCACAGCACACTTCATGTTAAAAAGTGGTGGTACTTAAAAAGCAGTTTGAGTTGGATGAAAGCAACTTCCAATGTCCTTGCTTACTGATATAAAAGATTGGCCTGATAGAAGTTTAATAAGCCAGTGCAGACTTGTTTCAGTTGGCTGAAAGGTCACTGAAATGCTTGTATTTTATTTTCAGGAAGAAAGTGGTTATTATGTAGATTAAGGATGAGAAATGTCTACAGTCAGTTGCTGCTATGGTGGAATGTTCTTTCTAATGATTGTTCAGCTTTCATCACACACAAGCAGTGAGCAAAGAAGTAACAAACTCTTTTTCCCTTCTTTCCTTTTCCAGGATGAATCTGGAAGCCGGTTTATTGCCTTTTCAGGAGAAGGCCAGTCCCTGCGCAAAAAGGGAAGAAAACCCTAAGCTGTGCTACCTTTAGTCAGTTAGGAGGAAAATAAAATAACAATTGCA